AAACCTAGTCAATCTGGAGCTGAACAAAGCAGAAAGGGCCATGCCAGCTCAGAGACCACCTAACCCAACACGGCACAACAAAGMAGGGCAACCAGAGAAGGGCACCAGAAGACAGTAAGCGGGTACTGAAGCTTACCCAGCTTGTACCTACTTGTGACTTGGAGGCCTCTCTGGAAGAGCATGGGGAAGGTGGGCACACATATATGTCCAGCCATCAACAAACAGCTGCCACTGCGAAGACTAAAGCAAAACAGTGAAAAAAAGAAACAAACCACAACTGCCCTTCCTCCCCACAGCATCCATCAACCTGCAGATCTGTTAAAGCTCTGCTTTCCTGGACATATTCCTAGCTGGCTTCTCAGGCTTCCCACTTTACTCCTGGATATCATGAATTACTCTTGAACGCTTTTAACATGCCAGAACACTTACTATTTCAATAATGACTTCTCCAGATTTTTTTTTCCCTTTTATTATGAATGTAATGTTTCCAAACAACATTCTCGATTGGTAGACTCGAGCTGTATTGCTGTGATAACCCTCTAAGAACCTTATCCCCTCCTGAGTTACTGTTATCCTTCCATCAGCTAGGAGATTTTGAGAAGGAACCGACCCACAGAAGAATTGGGTTGGAACACATCATTGTTCACTTGAGCAAGCTCAAAGCTAGYATCTCCTCTGGACAACTAATGGTTCACAGGTTTACACCAACAGTGGGATGTGGTGGCTTGCCAGGATATGTAGCACTGTTCATACTCTACATATTTGAGACATCTGCTTGGATGCGATTGTTCCTTCTCTGTTTGTTGGTAATTATAACAATAAGAGGCACAGCTGGGAAAAGTGAATTGTGGTTTCTCTTCTGTATGGAAAGTTAAGTGTTTGTCTGATGTGCGGCTCTAGAGGCAGCTGTAAGGTCCTCCTGCTGCCTTATTACATCTGACACCTCGGAGCACCAAGCAGAACACGTGCTTTCATGGGCTATAAAGAATGACTATTTCTGTTATTTCTGACACTTTATGACTAAAATGCTGGACTTGTTATCCAGCAGCACACACCATACGTAAACCAACAGCTCCATGTCCTTGACCTCGGACAGCTTCCAAGAAGATCAACAGAACCAGCTGAAAGGAGCACTTAGAGGAGGAAATGATTCATGAAGCAACAGCAATGACAGCAGATACCATAGGCAGCCATTGATTTTTGCAGAAATTAGAGTAATTATTATTATTATTTTTAATATACCACTGCTACAAGCAGATGGAGAATCCAAGATACCTCCTGCATATGGGAACCAGAGATGCAGGATGGGTCAGACCCCAAAATTCCTTTCAGTCTTGAGCAGAATGAGGCAAATACACAACATCCAGCCCTTGCCTGGGTACTATTTTCAGACTAAGACTCTAAAATTTCAAGCACAGCGTGCGACGCATGAGACGGTTGTCATGAAAAACATTCCACGTTATGAACTCCTATTCTAAAAGCACCAGAAATTGGGCCAGGAGTCTAATCCCCAAGTGATATCAAGTGACTTATTATGCTATTTCCTTCCATCAAGGAAATCGCATCTCGCAAGAAACAACAAAACAGACACCTGAAATTAAATTGTTTCTGGCAATTAAGAAGGTAAAAGAGTAAAAAATAGGGTACAAGAAAACACAAGCTAGTTGTATATTTTATATTGACACTCTGCTTTCCTCCATGATGAGCTAAAGAAATATTGTTGTAATCATATCAACATTTTTTTTTGCCTTCCAGTAATTATGTCGCTGTCTAATTGAAGCTCCTGAGATTGATGTAAGCACAACTCTATAAAACATAACAAGAACCGATGGGTGGAAGGTAAACAAGGAAGAAAATGGTCAAGGAATCAAGCATGGTTCTTCTTTATCAAAGTAAGTAATGAGAACTGAAGTATATTCTCCATCACTGATTATCTTTTATCATGATGTTTGTCCAGAAGATTAAAGGCATAAATTCAGGAAAATGCTACAGCTTGAATTAGGAAGAAGACAATGATCCCTCTGACTTCATAAGCTATGAATAGGTTAAATACCTGGAAAAACAGTCTAAGTCAAATACCTTACTTTGCAAAAGCTAAATATTTGAAAGTTACCATAGTACCTCAATATTCCCAAGATGTAAGGCAAGAGGACAGAAGAGAAACTCTGAAACACAGCCTCCAAATGTGGTCATTGCAATACATACCACTCAATTCTGGCAGGAACCCAAGGGCTACCTTCTTCAGGAGTGCAAGATAACAAAATTCCAGGACAAAAACGTCTGTTTCTCAAGCAACTGGTGCCACATTGAAATTGTTGGCTCTTGATCAGAACTTATAGTAAGCACAGAAATATGAACTGACAAACTGATCATCACTGACCAGCAAGTAGCTCTCCCAGAGGATGTATGAACAAATGGAGCTTTAAGACCAGACAGAATAAGCACAGGAAAGACCACAGTAGCTCATCCAACGACTTGATGTGCACACTGGGAAGGACATGATGTCGAGAAATTCAAGCCTGACAAATTTCCCACTACTGAGCCAGGAAGTGGAAGGCTGGACGAAGAAAATTGCTTTCCCTCTCTAGAAGATATTACATAAAAGCCTAACAGCACATCTAGCATATCTTGACATTCCTTTATGTTTCACTGTGCTGTTTATACCTGCCTGTGAGATGCCATTGCTGCTTCAGGCTCAGCAGAAACCAGTCTGTCCCTGTGGAAACTGCTCTCCAGAGAATATCCCTCTCCAGAGCTCTCAGGCTCAAGAGGACCGACTCCTTGGGCACTCAAAACATCCTCGAAGTTTCCTGCAAACATACACACATCTGCATCCCAAATCCCTAGTTTCACCACTAACATTTCCCCCTTCCTCTCCTACACACAGGTAAACTGAAGTGACCTTCCAGCTAAAGTCCTGCCAGCTTGGAAGCACTGAGGATTCGCACTTGGAAAGTCCATAGCAGGAACCATCTGCAACTAGAAAAGGAAGGATGCTCACCCAAAATATCTGGGGCCCACGCAGGGTGCTTGAAATGAGGAATAGACAGACCCATCCATCAGGCTGCTGTTTTAACAGCTTTATCTCGTGCAAGACACAAGCTTAGCAGCAAAAAAAGTCACAGCTCAATTCTCAGAGGAGCTTAAACTAATGAGCTGAGAATAGTGAACCATAAAAATGATCATTTTGCAAATCTCAATCCTACCAAACCAATATGTGCAGAGTCTGAAAGTCTCCTCAGAGAGTATCACTTACACCATACATTTGATCTATATTTTTCAAGGTAATAACGGAGGCTCTTCACTTTGCTACAAAAGGCCGCATGGGAAGAAGAAAACCCTTAAGATATCTACATGTGGCAGCTTTGCAGCAGCGTGAGACTGAACAAATGGAAAAGAACCTAAAATAGCTTGTGACAGTTTATCATTAATCAGTATGAATTACTTGGCAAAAGACCGTATCTCTCAGTGCAACTTAGTGGCACCTTTCCCGAAGAGCTAATACGAACACGAGTGCATAACAAGAGACTCCGGGAAGAGGGGAAAAGGAATGTCAGTGCTGATCGAGTTGCTGATGGCAAGAAACAAAACAGGAGAAGATACAGGGCAACACCTGTGTGGCAGCAAACATGACCRGCATGTTCCAGCATGGCAAGGTTAAATTCACCACAGAAGGTTCATAATCATACCACAAAAATGTCTTCTGAAGTGCCTCCTTGCATCATCTCTCCAGCAGTTTCAGTATTTGCCTAGAACTGGGAGAATATTCCAATTCTTCTTCTTATAAAATTACTACTTCTTCTTATAAAATTACTATTTATTCATAGAATAACATTACTATTGTCCTTGTGCTGGCAGATCCTGGCAAATGTTCCAAAACCCAAATTACTCCATTCTTCCAGCACTAATTTATGCATATGGATTTGATGATCCAGACTTACAGGTCTTATGAATTGAGATTTGTACTCTTAAACAGCTAAACAAAGTAGTTTTACACTTACATGTGTCAGTATATGCATAGGCAGTTTTTTCTTAAAAGGAAAGCTCTACAGTGTTTCAAAATTGATTCCAGTTGCTGTCAGATTTAGACAGGGAAAGTAAGAAGTTCAGTGAATAACTAAACTGAAGACCTTGCATGTGCAAGCCTGAAACCACATAATGCAGCTTCAAACGAAGGCAGAGAGGTCAGAATTCAAATCATCTCCCACCCTGCTTGAAGTGTCCCTATTACTTTTATGCAAAGGATATACAAGAGTTAAGTTCTCATGAAGAATTCAAAAATCTTGATTGGCATATAATCCATGGCAATTCTGTTCTGTTCATATCTAAAATCCCAAGTTATAGGCACTAATTGTAGCTTCTTTCTCCCAGTAACTGGAAAAAAAACAACTTTCTATGCTTAAAGGTGATTAGAGATATACCTGAAAAGATTTTGAGCTAGATCTGTAAAAGAAAAAACACCAAGTGAGTGAAATTCTCAGACTTAAAAATGAAAAACAGGCTGCTCCACACCTGCATTCCTCCAGCTATTTTGCACATTCTTCATGTGGGTAAAGATGGGTACTACCAAGAGATCTGGAGCTGGAACAAGATCACTTTCCATGGCCTGAGGACCCGCAAGCTAGCAATGGCTCATCATTACCAAAACTGTACAAATAGCACACCTCAAGTATTACAGCTGTTCAGTGCCTCAGCATGAAGACCATCAGACATCAAAAGTCTCCTTTGACACTCACACCTTCAAATTAGCCTTTAGCCCAAACTACAGATCTCACCATATACTGACAAAGACTGTTCCATGCAAACAGTGAAACTTTAACATTTCAGATATCATTTCTTCAAAATGTTGGAGAGGAAGTTGCATTTTAATCTACAACAGTAGAGACCATAATTTAGCTGATCTCATTTGTAAGAAATTATTCTTTGGCTTAGTCCCTACATGTAAACGAAGAAAACAACAAACAATTTTGTCAAATCACAGAAAAGCATACTGAACTGACCTTCCATTGCTCCTTGGGCARCAGCTTCACTACCACAATATCACCATTCAGGGCTCTGTTGCGAGCTACCACTCCATCAATAAAGATATCGCGATGCCCGTCCTAGAGAAAGAGGAAGAAAAAGGAATACCACAGCAAAACACATTAAGTTACGGTTGTTAGGAAGTTTAAAACACTATCATCAAAAAAAAAAGCCACACGCCCTGGGGAGAAAAACATCCTGCAGTTGTGCATGGAAATGGAATGGTTTCATCACATGCCCTCCAATAGGCAATGTCTTTCAGCAAATCCTTTGGGAGTCCGTGCCAACACAGTAGTTGCCCAGTATTCACTCAGGACAGAGCCAAGCCTTCAGAACGTGTTGCCTGCAAAGGCTGCTCAGTTCCTCTACAGTTACTCTCAGGAACAGTTTTCTACAGTCACCTTTCTCCTCATATTACGTGGCCACCTCAAGCCATCCAGAAACTCAGTTTGTTCAGGACATGTTGCCAGGACAAGCGCTCTGCAAGCTGCTCTCCCGAGCAGGTTGGGAAACAGCACGAAAGGGATGAGCAGCACCAAGATCCACACGTCACCTTTCAAAGGAGGCAAGGTTTCTTTTTTAAATGAGGTACCACAACATATCCTGGTTTGGGCACCACTGCTACTAGAATCGATTCAAAACTGTGACTACAGGTGGCAAGTGCAAACCAGATCTTTGATGGCAAGAGACAGGTCAGGACAGGTCCTCTCGCTGCCCGGCAATAACATCCTTGCATGGGAGCCTCTACCAACTGAGCACCCCATGACTATCTGCCCTAGAAATGTTTGGCATTCTGCTAATCTAGACTTCACTTGGAAGATTTTCTTCACGGGGATGAATAAAGATGAAGCTTTATAAGGATGTCAACACAGAGGCTTTTAAATGAGTGCCAATTTTGTCCTTTTTTGGCTAATTATCTGCACAGCTCTTGCTGCTTTCATTTCCGTTTCCTCATACTTCAGTACATGGAGAATTCCATGTGGCTGTTTACAGTGCCATGAACATGTCAAACAGCATGAGTATTTAGTATCAACTTGAGCACTCACTACAGTTTTTCTACACAGAGCTATCATTTCACAACTGAGATACAAAAAAGAAAAGTTTCTTTATGCTACAGCTTTCCATATCTTCCTTTGCAACAACAAAAAACAGCCTCAAGAAAAATAAAATCTTAATCACAACTCCAGTGACTTCAGTTGCACCCTCCTGAATATCAAATGCTTGAGTAAATCCAATCAGAAATAGCTGTATATTCAGCCTCCAAGAAAAACTTATTTTATAATCTGCAAACATGAGGCCTTAATATCACATAAATATCTTACTCTGCTTAGATACCAGAACAATAAAACGGCAGAACCAAGCCATGATGTGAAACTGAGGCTATCTTCCAAGAAAACAAATTACTCTTAGAAAGAAAAGCAGCAGCAGCAGCAGTTCAACAGCTGTGTGAAAGCTGCCTCCCATGACAAGATGCAGAAAAATTGCAAAGCCTCTTGGACCAGCACAATTCAAATTGGAAACTGTTCTTCTCAAAAAGCCAGATTTTTTACACATGGTCTTATTCTTGTCTCCCCACCCTCTCCCTTCTCTTCCAACTCCTGACCTAAATCCTACTACATATATGAAAAGTTCAAAGCTATTTTTTAAAGTGCACATTTTTGTTTGTGTTTTAAATATCTCTAAATATCTGTGACTGGTTGCAGTCACAGGCTGGTATTTGCAACATTTTTATTGTTCTACAATATTTTCTTTTTATTTTCTCCTTTTTTGTCCAAGAAAAAAGCAAGGCCATTCCTTCACCCCTTATATAGGCACTCTATGTGTCACACTAGAAAGTTGAAGCTGCATGTCTGCACTATGCAAAAGCCTTGTCTTGAATTGCACTTATTTTCATCTTAAAATTCTCATATATACACACACATATATGTAACATATATAAAATATATGGTGCAATTTTACAGCAATCAATTTCCCTGTCTCTTACATGAGAGATTAGAATTTGGCCAGCAGTTTTATTTTTGCCTCAAAATAGAAATATCTCCGTGCCTAGAGTTCCTGCCTCAGGATTATTGGGTGAACTTGCACACTTCCAAGAACACCTGTACATTCCTCTTCTTCCTTCAGTGTCCAACTCGTCAGCCCTGCACAGTWGCTCTTTTCAGTTACTCAGCAATTAAATAAGCACTGAAATGCAACCCATTCACTTGCAAAGTCTGAAGTGCCCCTTGGCTCATACAGTGTGTTACCTGCAATAGCTTCAGGACTTCTACAACCCTCTCCAGGCAGCAAGGTGCTGTCATTCCTCAGTGGCTTCTGGGAATATCTAAGCAGTGCTCTCTATCCCCATCCAACATGAAAAACATCTGCAAATCCCTCACAGAATCTGCTTTAATCTACTCAGGAAGCACATTCCAAAACTGCAGCTCAGCCACCTGAGATGCTCCTCGCTCATGCTCAGGAACCTCATTCTTCAAAATGACAAAGCCACGATTTCAAACATGACAGGACTGTGAGCGGAGAAGACACAACACAGGAGGTAGAGAGTTCAGTGCTCTGGGCCCATTCGCTGGGAGGCTTTGGAGAGAAAGGCCCTCGGTCTTCCCCTCAGCTCCATGCAACAGTGAGASAAGCAGAGCACAGTTGCAGCAAGAAATTCCCTGGCACTTCTGGYGTTAAAAGGTGAACAGCTGCTGTATTTGAACTTCACGAGGCTGTAGCCAAGTGGGAACTGAACAGAAAGGGGTACAGAGCCTTAGTCAACAGMAGGAGAAAAAGGGTGATTTTTAACAGCTGCTGCTCTTGCATCATCTGGCAATGCTGGGAAGCCCTGCAGAACACCAAGGCCTCCGTGGCAAGTAATGCTATATGGAGGATAGTATGCAGATATGAAGATAAACCTCCTATAAAGTCTTTCCCCTTACAATGACAATGTCCACACCAGCCACATTCAGCTTCATCCAAGTGCTGACTCTACTTATGATTAGGAATGAGACTGGTTCAGCTCCACAAATGAAAGAAAAATTAAGGATGAAGGGAATACCGACCTCAACTAGCCCTCCTTCTACAGGTGCATTCCCAAGTGCAGTAATCTCCTGCAGGAGGCAATAGCTGGGCACCAGGGGGAATTAGGGGTAAAGTCTCACATCTGATTAAACTTGCATCTTTAGACAGTCATCACACTTAACCTCGCATTTTGTAATTGAGGACAGTATCTTAACAGCCTGYACTTGCCTACCCTTTGCTGCCACATTACATTGTCAGTACTGCTTCCTTCAAATACCAAGGAGCTGTTTTGCACTTGCGCCTCCAATTAATCCTAAAAAAATCTACCTCATACACCTCTGTTTGGAAGGAGACTGCATTATCCCCATCAAACAACACAAAATGACACTACCATAAACTTCAAGACTTTCAATCCAAACTCCAAAGCAATAGTGCTGGCAGCAGCTGGGACATCAGAGCCAGCGTTGCACTCAGTGCAGCCCTGTGCTCTCTCCCTGCATACCAACAAACATTTCAATATGAAACTCGCTCTCTCATTGATAGAAACATTTTGACCAAGTCAGTTCCAGATTAAAAGCTTGGGCTGTGCCAGCTGTGAGGTCACTTCTCTACTGCAAGTCCTTGAAATCGCAAAAGCCCTTCTTTTCTGTCAAAATAAGAAAAGAGGCACAAACCAATCCCATGTGAGTACATCCCAAGCCAACCAACACACAGTGAGTGTAAAAGTGGGCACATGAAAAGGAATCACGTGCATTACTCTTGGAATGACTTTTCAAATTAGCTCATGCAGCAGATCGAAAATGGAGAGCATATTTGTTTAGGGAAGATTAACTTAAATCAGTGGAAAATCTATAAAACCTCTGTAGCCATAAACCGAGGGTTTTCAATTACACTATCTAGTGGTCCTCAAACCTGAGTTCAGCTGGCTTCTCTAGGATGCAGTTGTATCCGCCATTTCAGCACAAGCTAAAGACATTCTTTGCCATATGAAAAAACAAGATTTACTTGGGAAAATGTGATGAAAAAAATCGAAATGATGCTCATTTATTCTCAACTAATTCACCTCCAAGTGACCTTTCATAAACAGCATAACTCGTATCTTAATACACCTTCACTTATGAACTGTAAAGCATTATATAATTACACTTACTGGGGATGGAATGAAGGCTTCATGGTATCTCTTAGGATTTATTCTCAAGGGCCCCTTAAAAAAAGAGAAGAACAAGAAAGATTATGCATGAATCTTATTAACTTTATATAACATCAGTTAATTTAGAGAGCTGTAATATATCTACTGTGAAACACCAGAGATGCATCTAAATTTCCATTATACAGAACAAGTCTTGTCAACTTTGCATCTGAGCACTTTCAAGCCAAAAGGCAGTTTCATGATAGGCTTAAGCTGATCTACTGCGGGCTGCCACCAAAGACATGTTGATTCATTTGCTGCTGCTGCTACTGGATGAACTGGGGATCCAAGTCCTGCTGCTCCCTTTGGACATTTTCTCCCGAGTTTCAAGATTTCAGCACCTTTATTAACAAACTGACAGTCCGAAATGGTTTGTTTTGCTCTGGTTGGGAAAGRGAAAGTATTAATTGTGCTTATTTTGGAGGGCAGGAGGAAAAGGGCAGGAGCTGGGCTGCTAAAGCAGCACGGCAGCGGTGAGAGCCGCGCGGGCTCTGCCTGTTCCAGTGGACACAGTAGCAATAACTCAGTGATAAAGAATATTTTCAAAGATGAATAGAAAGGATTTTCCAAAAACAAACATTTAAGGTCCAAAAGATTAAATGCTGTTTAAACACTTTTAAAGTCAAACCATTTTGAAAACATCTGAAAGTCCTGGGTGTATCTATTTCAGCTTCGTTATCTGCCAACTCAAGATTCAAATCCTTGCAACAAATACCTACGACCCCTCCAAASTAAACCAACCCGTTTTCTGCTTGCACTGAGGAACACCACAGTTAACAAGAGAAAAGCAGAGCCAGTGGACTACAGGCTCTGCAAAAGTGCCTTTTCCACCCTAAAAGAGGCCTGGGAACTGTGATTCAGGTGGCCATTACATCTGACAAYTTTTGATTCTTCTGGAAACACAGCTCTTAACTAGGCACCTGCCTTCACGAAGGCTTTTGCTTTGCTCTGAATTTAAAACTTATTTCAAACATACAGATGAAGAAATGTTGGCCAAATTGTTATAGGAATAGATTCCATCTGTTGGCACTTCTGTGTTTAGCAATCAGAGGAACCTCTCACAGGAATTGCTTCCTTAAAAATTTACTGCAGCATACAATATTTTTTGTTTTATGTATTCTGGGAAACACTTAGACAACAGAAAAATAAAGCTGATTGCATGTGAAAGCCTTGCTGCCTTGAAGGTAGAATCCGCAAATTTACAGAGTTTGGAATCCCCAGCACCCCATGCTCTCTACTCATGAAATTTTGAGTACTTTTCAGCAGTGTCTTATTTTAGACCTTATTTAACAGGTATTAATGCGCACTCTGGCCACACGGCAAGCACTACCCAGGACAAGGGCAAGAAAAGAAAAGATGATGGCTGGACTCAACCCTGGGAATACTTTATGGTTAGGCAAGGTGAGAGCTAACCTGCTGTCATCAGCCTCTATTAGCACGGGTGCCTTCTGATGGAAAACTCCATGGCTTTCCCCCCCACTCTCTCCCCCCAAATCAGCAGGAAATGAAGCTGCTACGGAGAGACCCAAGTGAGGAAATAAATAAAAAGAGATGGCTGCTTTGCTTGAAAAAAAAAAAAATGAGTGAAATAATGCCCATATCCAGAATCTATCCAGCAACACAAAGCAGATGAGGGGTATCCGTGTCACTCTRGAGAACCCCCTTGGTTCCTTTGGGACATCTGTCAATCAGACAAGTGCAAATGCCCAATTTGCAGGTGAAAAACCAGGCTTTGCATCCCTGATTTGTAAGGAACCCAAGTGGCTGTGAGCACAAGGACACCCAGCTCAAGCAAATACATAGAGCAGAGTCTTGCTGCACTTCCAGCGCCCTGGGTACCTCTGCATTTCCTATGTCCCATCTAATTATGACCAGCATTAGAATTCTTACGTCAAGGAACATTAAAATACTTTAGCTCTTTCCTTCAAGCAAGGAACTCCCAAAGTTTATCTTAGAAAGCAGATGGGCCCTATTATCTGTGCCTATGAAAATCGTATTTACAATGTTGTACATTTCACGCTGTGATATCATATCTGGAACCAGTCGCTCTCCCCATCTGCAACGAACAACTGTTCTCATATGTGTATTAGGGGCTGAGGATCTGGCTGCAGAGTCTCATGATGTCACACTAACRCTGTATTATTTTACAATAGCTCGCAAACAATAGCTGCTATATTTATCAGTGTTTTTATGTCAGTAGGGCCGGTGTTTTGAAAGGAAGAGAAAGGTCTGCAGGAAGGTTTCTAAAACGTGTTCTAATGATGCAGGTCAGCTTCAAACACAGTTGCCAGAAAAAGTTTCTAACCTCATTAAGCTCCTGCAGCAAAACACAACAAGRTCGTGATTTCTCAAGCTGCTCTGCTAGAACCACAGTAGGAAAGACTCAGACTAAACGTCAAGCATCTCAAATCAAGCAGCTCCTATCAACCACCATAACACGCAGGCCTTGCCTGGCTTGTGTGAGAAACAGTGCAGAAGGCCCCAGGTCAAGTATCTACCCACCATGCTAAGGCCACCTTTGTAAACAAGCAATCCARGACCATGAGGGAAACCCCGGTCATTGCACCCACAGGTGTCTTTCCAAAGACATTTCCAGCTCCTTTCCAAAGAACCACATCAGCTCAGGGCAAAGGCGGCGCCTGTGCACGCTGCGCATCCTCCTTCCGCCTCAGCATCCCAGCAGGGAGGGCTGGGAGCCGCTGGAGGCGGCAGACGCCGATTCCTGGCTGGCGGACGCGGATTCCTGGCCGGCGCTGCGCGTGATGATCACTGTCCTTTGGGTCAACGCTGTGTAACGCACAACCTGACGTCATCGGGCGCGCGGAGCCAACACCGTGCGGTTACGTAACCACGCAGAGGTTGTTCCGTCTCGTTTGCCTCCGGCCCGGCCTGCGTCGTTCAGGCAGCCACACRCCTGCGGCCTTTGCTCGCTGCAGCGTCACGGGGCGGGACGCAGGCGGCCGTGTCTGCATGCCCCTTCCTATGGAAAGGGGCTCCTACACATGCCCCAGGATTAAGTGGATGCAGGAATCCTCCTGGGCACTTTTCTCCACGCTACTTACTGAAAAACCGGGTTACATCAAACAGAGAATGTCACCACGACTACTACTGACAGATTTTAGCAACCGTAAAGATAACCCGCTTGTTCCTCCTGATTYGGGCTGCTCGATTTTCATGACACTCATGCTTTATCTTGGAAATCTCCCACGTTTGCCAGTAGATCCCTGGTTAGGGCTAACAGAATTACTTACATAACTGCACTGCTAGGGTCCATGACAGCCTCAGAGCTACAGGAGGTCTCTTCCCCCACCACACCCCACAAGAAATGATGTTCTCAGACACATGCACATCTTGTTTCCAAGATACCCTGGGGGACTCCYCTGCTCAGAGGGTTGGGATCCTGACTGGCTGGCCCTGAAGCTTGTTTGGGACCATGAGAGTCCAAACCAGTAGATTTCTTTGTCTCTGCCACAGCTTCTTGGGATGCATTTTTGCAGGTCACCACACCAGACCATTTCAATGCTCTTAGTGAACAAAAATCTGCCGTGTTAATCCCTCTTTCGCCCCTCACAACAGCAGTGCTCAATATCTGTCCATCCACTGCAACTGTTATCAGGACCTCACCTATGCTGTTCAAAYCTGCAATGACAAACAATCCTGATGAGATCATGAGGATGAATGAGTTCAGGGTGAGATACACTGAGCTGGGGTGCTCATGATCTGACCCTCAGACCTAAGTGATCAAATCCAGAGTCTACAGACTCAGATGTTTCCCTGAAATGTGGAAAGGGGTGAAATAAGAAAGCACATGACTCTTCCAGTTGCAGAGCACATGACCTGAAGTAGATACTAGTCATTTACCAGAACTAGGGCTTCTTTGGCTAGAATAGTATGCAAGCACAGGTCCTGCGGGACTTCACATTTCCAGGGAATTCTCAGGTAGCAGCAATAGTCTGACATGACATATCGGCTTATGGAAGTATAAAAACACTACACAAGTAAATCAAGGATCTGGCATGACTAACTGGCTCTTTTATGTTATTTTAACCAGTTCTGTTGTAGTCCACAACACTGCTGCAACGCCCTGTGAGGGAGAGCTCTATCAGACCCCAGGGACTACAGCATCACTGGCACCATCATTCTCCCTTTTCTTGTGGGAAGGCAACTTCTGAAAAGAGATGATAAAAATGCAGACCAAAGAGAAAAGGGGGAGAATCTGCACCTCACTGCTGAGGACTAATCAACTTCTCCATGAGGAATTCCTCATTAAGCAATATCCTTCTAAGGGCACTCATTTTTACTTACYCTTACAGACCCAGGGAATGCTTTTTTACTGCTATTTCATTTCAGGTGAGTTCTCCCAATTCCTTGTACGTTTTAGAGCATCATTGCACAGCAAATGACTTCACCATTATCATTCAATGAGAACTTTCCAAGGCATCACATCCTTGGATCAGGAATTTCTCCCAACATGCAGTCAAGCTAAAACCTAGACTTAAGCTGAACAGGAAAAGTTTCATTCCATTTCTAGAACCTCCTGAGAAAAAAAAGAATCCTCCTCCTCTAGCACCTCCAAGGGGCACATCCATTCCTTGACATGCAACCAAATGACATTTATGTCTTTAATTTCCAAAAGCTTATCATAAAAAGYAAGGTTACTTTACATTCCAGGCACCTGAATCAACTCTCTCCTTTTCAGTCCTGCTGAAACGTCTTCCTTTGACATGTAGGCTTCAAATATACTCTTCTTCCGCCCTCGAGTGGGTTTATTTCGATTCTTTCTATCACCTGGTGTCAGGGCACCACCATAGGCTCCTCCTGCAAACAGAAATTCATAACAGTTACCTTGCCAACCACACTTGTGTTTTAACAGCAGTTGTAGAGAAGCTTTGTATTCAAAGCTGAACTTTTGCGAACAGTTTGCCAGAAATACTGGCTCCCAACTTCAGAATACCAACATGCCTGTAATGGTCATATTTTTACAAACAACTCAGGCTTCTGCAGCTCACTTTAGAGTTAAGACCATTCATCCCAGCCCATCTTTTAATAGCACGGAGCACATGCTCCGAGGCAGCTTATTCCTGAAGCGTGCACGCACTCTGCTTTAATACCTCGGGGAGTTCCCAGTTGTCTAGGATTTATTCTGCTGTCTGAATTGCTCATTGTCTCTGCCTGCGACTCAGAGAGCTGTCTCTTCCTATCGAAGTGCTGGGGAGCTCTGGCGGATTCCGAGTTGTTTCTGGTCCTTGCAAACCCTCTCTTTTCTGCACCTGAAAACAAATAACGGGATTGAAATAAAAGGGGAAGAAGGAGAATTCCCATTGCCAGCTTGTGGCCCCGGTGACGCTCAGTCTGCAGCGTTTCAGTGCACGTCACAATCGTGTCATGCTCTTTACCCAGAAGAATCATCTTCATTAGCTCATTTGCAATCTGTTAGCTCTTCATGCCTCTTAATCCCACCATTAGCTAACTTCAGCATAAACAAAACTCTGGAAATTACCATATTAAAGTTAGATACAATCTTTCCAAAACACTGGGAAATTCATTAGTGTATAAAATGTGAAGCTGTTTCCAAACCCCTACCCTCCACCTCATTAAGTCCCCAAATAGTGAGAAAATAGAGTTTTAAATGCAAGTCACAGGCAACTTAACTATTCTGGGGAGTAGAGCGAGGAGAGGGAAGAAATCAGAACACCTCTAGGACTGGACTAGGTAACTTTAGAGCTACCAGAGGCAGAACCATTCGAGCCCCTCACAGTGAACTACAAGGAACTGCCCGGATTGCAAGCATCCAACCTGCTCAAAATCAGCCACGATCACACAAAATGCTCTGAAAAGACTCACCCCTTTCTTCCCTGCCATCACCTCGGCCCCTTCCCTACAGCCAGGAGAGCAAGCAGCAGCTTCCAAAGCTTGTGCCAATGCTGTTCCACGGATCAGCACATTGGAATGCAAGGCAACGCAGCTGCCCTCTTGGCCCTCCACCTGGATACTGAACATGTCACCACAGCTTTGCCTTCCAGCCCCTCCTGGCCACGTGCCCCGGCTCCAAGCTTGTACCTGCAAGTCGGGAAATGTACAATGCCAGCTTATTTGCTAAGGGGCTGTCCAAGTTACACGGGAAACCTTCTTCGTACGGGATCTTTCCCAAACTTAATCCCCAGTTGCTTCATAGAGTTAAAACTGCAGCAGTGGGAATGAAAAAAAAATGTATTTTAGCAGAAATCTTTACAAATATCACAGTATGATTACTGCTACCCCAGCCAGTCACAGGCTGAGAGCAACTTTCACACACAATAACAGACAAATCACCAAGAGGAGGGATCCTCCTAATCCAAAAGGGGAAAAACAAGATAGGGAGACAGACAGCTTGAGGTATTGCCTCAGACCAGCCCAGGAGAAGATTAAATGCCTGAGCAGTATCGCTATAGGGGATGCTGAAATGAAGAGGGAGCCTATGTGTTAAGCAGAGATAAGGCTAAGAGCAGCATAGTTTGGTCTCCTGCTGCAAGAGCAAGCTCTTCATGCGTTCCTGATAGCGGAGGCTGAGCCCAAAGTGAGAACAGGGATTGCGACTGGAGCAGAGCAAGGGAGAAGCCACACGCTCTGATTTCAGCAGATRTAAAGACATACAGATATAAAACACTACACGTGCAGAGCACTCTGTGAGGTTAGCGGATTTGCAAACGACCTAATGGTCAAGAGATCAAGGTCAGAAGAGCTACCGAAACTAGAAGCACAGGCCGGAGAGATGCGAGTAGAAAAGCCCTAGAATTGGCTCTTAGAGCAGCGYTTGGAGGCAAGGATCTTCCTTAAACTGCAACAAGGGAAAAGGAGGATGAATCTCTGTAAAGATGTTAAATTAGTGATTAATTAGCACTAAACTGGTCACCCAGGAGGCCATGGAACCAGAATTGCTGGAGGTTTTTAAAAATAGGTGAGACCAAATTCTGTCAAGGTTGGTCTCCAGAGTTTTTCCCTCAAGGTAGGATGGATTACATGAGCTCCTGAGGTCCTCTAAAGCCCCAGTTTCTATGACAGCAAGTCACAGAAAATACTACTATGAATTAAAGAACTTGGGATCTCAAGGAGGTTACATTTTAGCATGTAATTAGGGAGGAGCTGGAAAAAAAAACAGCAGAAAATTAAAATATAGGAAAGCGGAGCAGAAAGAAAGTCTAGTAAATTTGGGAGTGAGCTGGGAATCAGAATTAGCAATGGCAGAGTTGTGGCAGCCCTTCCGGGATGTTTCAGAAAGTCCTGAGCCAAAAATACTGCCCTGCAACAGCAAAACGTGGGGAAGCACCTTCCCATGCAAGACGAACCGGGAGGCACTTGCAGGGCTGCAGCAGGTAAAACGCTTGGATCTGCTCCCCTGGGGTCGTTTTCATCACCCAGACTRTGACACAAACACTTAAAAGACAAAATTTATGCACGTGAACAAACCCGGGTTCAACACAGCTGCCTTACAAGCCAGTTTACACATAGCCACTCTCCATGAACATTGTACTACACTGGTCATGACATTTATGGATACCCCAAAACACCCCCTGGTACCCGGCCACAGAAGATTGTCACAATAAGTGGTCAAAAGGAACATGTGCTATTGTGCACGAGGAACGTTCTTCCTGTCTCTTTCCACAGAAGATGACAGCTAACTTCACACTGTCCTCCATCTCTGCTAGACTCAATACTTAGCTCCATAACACACYTCTCCCTTAACTGCAAAGTTAAAGTAATTCTTATGACAGGTTTTTCTGCCATCCCCACCATGCTGCATTAATATTTCATTGTATACACAGACATCACTCTAAAAAGCAAATTGTGGCTACACAGAAAGGTTAGCTCAGAATGCTAAGCTCAAACAACTGTTACCACTAACTTATTTTAACTGTTTTCCAACACCAGGTGCATCCGACGTCTTTTTTTTATATGGTTTTACAGTTGTGCAATTTGTAAGATATATGGAAAACTCTTAGGGAGCAACACATAGATAACAGGCAAAAAAACAAATGCTTCTAGACATTTAAATGATGTGAGATAAAGAAGCTGAACCAATTTCTTTTGAAGCCAACTGCTCACTGCATCCCCAAGCAGAAGAAATTATTCAGAGAGAAAAAGCAGGAGTGTGAGGGGAGCGGGTCTCAACTTTAATATACGGGAGAGTAAAGTGCAATGGCTGGAGCTGAAGGGTGGACCTATCCACAAGGAAGGACCTCTCCAGCACTGCAGAGGCACCAAACAGAATAAAGAAGGGGTGACATTCCCTGGACTGTCAGGACAACCCACAGCCCCCGACTCACTTGTTTTCCTAATGTAATTTGCCAGCATCAGGAGCAGAAAGGCCTGACACCGACCAGGAGCTCAGGGTCCAGCACCCTGGGTACGGGCGAGAGCGGCTGCAAGGGCAGCGCTGCAGACCCACCTGGAGCCCAACACGCCCTTCASCCCCACCACAACCCACGGTGACATCCCACAGCGCTGCCTTTTGGTCTCCAAGCTTCCATCCATCCCCATCTATCAATCCTTTCATACTCTGGATTTAAAAAAAGTTTGCAAGCAGCTTCCCAGCATAATCGATCTGGCTTTCAGGAAGAGAGGCTGCTGGATGTTTTAAATCAACTTATTTCGACAGTCGCACAAAATCACTCAATAGTTTAAGTTTGGAAAGCACTGTATTTAATTAAATATATTAGTTGATTAACTACRTGTGCAACTAAATCAACCAACATGTTCAACAACTACATGAGATTTAGCACGGCCAGAAATGAAGTCTTTACGTTGAATATTAAAATTCACATATTGCTTTTTATAAAGGTTCAAGACTAAATGTGATTCACCAAAAACATTTCCAATTGCCCTCTAACACCTGTCAAAAAGTCATTTAATTACTACCAGCACAGAAGAAAAACATTTCTTACTTTTTTTTTCCTTTTAAATCAGCACATGCATGAATCCTTGGCTATCTCCAATGCAGCAGGCAGCACGAGCTAGATTTATTTGAGAGCCCTGAGTAAATTCTAGCACATGGTCATCTCGGGAGAGCTTTCCCCGTTCCTGTCAAAGAGCAGCCACTTAATCACCAGGCACTTTTCCCTCTGGCTGGGCTCTCAGCTTTGTTAGCAGCCCTTGCCTGTACTTAACCCAGCTCTCCCGGTGCGGGCAGAGGTGGCCAAGAGCATCACAACAATCGCCTGGTTACCTGGAAACATCCCTGCAAGTGCAGGAATCCGGCCCCACTGACAGCTACCTSGGTGCATAATCACCCCCTTTGTATGTAAAGAAGAGATTCTGTTGAAACAGTCAAGGAGAACAATTCTTCCTTCTGTTCCATAACATTTTCAAGCCACAGCACTTCCATCCACTGCTTGCTGCTTCTGCTCCGTCCAACACTTCTTCCGCTAACTCTGACATTGCTAAGGGAATTTTCATTGCTTCCCAGGATTAAATCATAATCGAGTTATGTGGAGGGATCCTGCAAACACCCACGCTTCTCCAGGCAGCCTAAGTGTGAAAATAAACAGAAACAAATCCACGGAACTGATAAAATTCAATGGAACTATTTGCTATCAGCTAATGAGACTTTCAACACGTAGTTACTAAATATTTGCTCATATTTCTACAATTTTTCACTTCCCTGCTGACAGATTTCAGTGACTTAAACCAAGTTTTGTCACAGCTTTCAAGAGATTGCCTGGCCTTTAATTCTTCAAGACAACCCAGCTATGTGGTTAATAAAACACTCTAAGGATATATCCATGAGCTGTACGACATGTCATCTGTCTTATGACAGGTCACTCAATACTCCCTCCCAGCAAACGTAGAAATCAGCCAACTACAGGCAGTGACAAKGACTGACACCAGCCCCTGCTTAGTCCCGTGCTCCCATTTGAGCCAGACTAACTCACTAACTTAATCATGGCATGAAAACTAAAAGCACCTCCCTCCTTCTCCCCCTTGCTAGAGACCCACGGAAATCACAGGCCAACCATGCAACAGCCCAGGGCATCACCACACAAACTCTAATTTGCAAATCTGCATCTCCTGCAAATTCCAGTTGACCCTTGGGCTCCTCAGAAGTTCTACCTGGAGCTTGGAGCTGTGGCCGCTGATGTGCAAGAAGACATATTGCAGTAATGCATATCTGCAGTCTCAACACAGAAGCTGAGCCTACAGAAACTTGTTTGGCAAAGATGTTCAGAACAGAAAAAGCAACAAATCCAAAGATCCCTAACAGCCCAGCCCAGGTGCTTTTGTGAATCTTGTTGTC